CTAACGAATTAGAGCTGTCCGCGTTCCACTTTACAGCTTTTTCAAATCTACAAAACGTACCGGAGTAGTTGATAAAATGTAAACACGCGAATTTACGAATCGGCATTTTTTGTTTTCTCAAAAGAGGGTGCATGATATTTAACTATTGTTTTTTAATTCGATATAATATATAATATAATATGATTAAGAGTTGAAAAGTTTTGATCCTAACATAGATACAATGTATTTTTCGATCATACTAACTTTATTTTCGGCACAATCTCGAAAGTTTTAGTAACAAAAATAAACTCAAAACTTTTCAACTTATCCTTGTATATAAATGGAGTGCATATTAATATATACACGCACACATACACACATATATATATATATATATAATATTGCATATACCAAGAAACAGATATTTATATGTACGTGTATATGTGTATGTTTGTTTTGTATATATGTATTAGAACCGGCTTCCTTTCGACGCTGCGTTAAAATCGTTTCACGTAAAAGCAAAACGTTTCCTCGTTTTATTACCACACGAGCTATTGCGTGAGAAAGTCTGAGCTTGCACACGTACGTATATACGCAAGAAAATTTACAGGGCCGGTCGTTGCACTCGAGGAACGTATTACCGTGCACGCGTTTAGATCAAAATGATGTCTGCCTCGTAAAGTGCACTTATCACGTGGGGGAAGAAGAGGCAGAAGAGGAGAGAGAGAGAGAGAGAAAGGAAGATGAATTCTTAACCACTTCTTTCTCTTGATGCATTTTAATTCTCGCCTCATAACGTCCCACTATGCTGATATATTTCTATTCCCAGGAGTAATAACTAATTTTTGTCGAGTTTTTTTTTTCTCGTCCTCTTCAGTAAATATTCGTTGTTAAAAAGCTCACGATATCTATATATATATATATATATATATATATATATATATAGAGAGAGAGAGAGAGATAGACACTATAGACACGTAGACACACAGGCACATAGGTTTTCGTTTAAAAAGAGGATCCATCGTGGTTTAATTTATTTTATAAAACGTTAACAAAAATCATATCGACCAGGGAAAATAAATTCCTTTTTCTGTCCCTTTTTTTTTTTCTCTTTTTCCACCAAGTACGTAACGTAATTGAAAAATATCATAAAATTTTATTACACCTTCGTATGAATCGAGGCATCAATAAGAACAAAATATAAATTTTAATAGGATTAAAACGCGAATTAAACGATGAGATAGATATGAAATTAAATATAGAAAGAAAGAAAGAAAGAAAAAAAAAAAAAGAAAACAGGGAATATAAAAAAAACAATGCGAGGCAAATTAATTGAGATAAAAAGATCAATACGTTCGAGGCGTACAAAATGAACGAAAAAGAAGCAATAAAAAGTGATAAAAAGAGGATGGAGAATAAAAATAGGAAATCACGGAACACTGACTTTGAAAAAGTGATCTGTAACGATCGTCGTGTAATAAAAGAATTTAATGAACCATCCAAGTGATATAACTAGAATCAAATAAAATATATTATACTTGCCGTATCTTTAAGAACTCGTAAATCCTATGTAAAAAGGGCTAAAAGTTCATGCTATTTTATATCCCTCGGTCGTAAAACGATAGGAAAAGAATAGAATTTGAAAGTGACTACATCATTCGAATGATGTCCTTCTTTCCGTCCTAGAAAGAAAGGGAAAAAGTTTTACGACCCCCTTTTTTTTTTTTTTTTTTTGGAAAAACTTTTACCCTACTCGAAAATTTATTAACGCACACCGTCCGTTATCAAATTAGGAAAAGAGAGACTCATAAAAAGCCTCCGTTGAATCGATAAAAAAAATTTGCATACTCCATCCCTCCTCCCCCTACTCTCTCTCTCTCTCTCTCTCTCTCTCTCTCACTCTCTCTCGAATTTTAATTTTTTTTCTTTTGTTCCTACGTTAAGGTGAATTAAATCGAGCGAGACCGCTATATATAAACCTATACCCACTAACCATAAAATATTCTGCAAACTGAATTCAAAATGGTGAAGTTTTTCACAACAAAAGGTGACTTCCCGAGTTGCGGTAACATACGAAGAAAGTACGAACTAACCCATTTTTTTTTAAATGGTTCTCTTTCCTCTCTCTTTCTCTCTCTCTCTCTCTTGCAACTTTCTACGAGGTTCTATCGTTGCGACGGGATATTCCGTTCTGGAGAGATCGCGATTCCGAGAATTTATACTGACGGCGAATATCCACGAATTAATGGGAAACGCCCTTTCCCCACTCCACCCCAACCCTACGAGAAATGTGGCCACGTCGAACTTGTCCACCCCGAGATTTTCTTCCGCCATATACCTAAATTAAATCTATCTACTCTTATCGAATGGCACTACGAATTTTTGTTTCTTTTTTCTTTTTTCTTTTTTTTTTTGTCTCATTCAACGAACACGTTTCTTTTATTTCTTTTTTGTTTTGTTTTGTTTTGTTTTAACTAACCTTTTTTTCGTGTAATCGATCGAACTTGCAATAATTTGAAACTGTTAAACGAGAAAAAAAAAGAAATAAATTAAATAATCCTTTACATGTGATATCGCATTAACTTATCCAAAACAAGTTCTATGATCCTAAAAGAAAATCTAATTATAATCGTACCCCCTTTTGACATTTTTAACCAATCAAGAAAAAAATGAAAAAATAATTTTTACACGAAATAGGGGAACACTTTAAATCAACTAAATGACATGGTGCGAATGATACCAGGATGTAGGATCAACTTTATGCACGCTAATCGGATTTCCGAGAGAAGCTGCCTTCTTCCCTCGACTACACCCGTTATATATATATATATATATATATATACATACATATATGTACACATATATATATATAACGTTACCGAAGACGAGCTTAACGCCTTTCGTACGCGTTTCGCGAGAAACATCGAAGCATTACGTAGATACTTTACGAGGTGAGCCCGTAAATATGCTTCTTCTTCAACGAAAAATGTGAAGCTGACACGAGAAAAGTACGAAACATTCTACCATGAGAGAAAACTGACTGTACTTGCACGTGTATCGAACTTTAAAGCTTCTCTCTTTCTCTCTATCTCTCTCTCTCTCTCTCTCTCTCTCTCTCTTTCTATGCTTTCTTCAAAGCTTTTTCGAGTTGACTGCTCGCAATGTATAACTCGGCGGACTACGGCGATCTGTGAATAGAATTCGAAAAATAGAGAAAAATGATCAAACGAAAAACTATCGGACCGTGTATTTTCCCTTGACTTTTTCCTTTTCGCTTATCTAGAAGGAAAAAAACAAAAAAAAACAAAAAAAGAAGAAATATTTTTAATACCTTGCCATATGAAATTTTGCAATTTTATTATTACGGATCGCTGAATAACATAGCTATTATTATTAGAGAATTGTCTTTCTATTTTGCATTGTTATTTAATTATTTCTAATATTGTTTTTTTTTTTCTTTTTTATAAATTTCGTATATTCTCTGATATATATATATATATATATATGTAATATATATTAATTAATTTTGGTTTAGATTTTATTTTTAATTTTTATATATTTTATTTCATTCGCATACTACCATCACCATCACCACCACCACCATCATCACCATTTATAATCAACGCATTCCTTCGTGAAATAAAAAAGACAAATTTTCTCACATAATAAAAAGACACGACAATAACGCGTTGGAAAAATTATTTCATCACGATTATTACAAAAATTCTATTATACTACGAAGAAATAAAATAAAGAAAAATAAATAAGAAGAATTATAATATTTAAAAAGATCAACAAATATAGATAAAAAAATAAAACGATGATTAAAACGTATAATAAAACACAGATATTCCATTCCATAATATTTCTCTTAACTGATAACAAATAATCCTAATCATCGTATTGTATCTGTTCTCTTCCTCTCTCTCTCTCTCTCTCTCTCTCTCTTTCTCTCTCTCTCTCTATATACATATATATTTATACGTGTACGGAAGTGGCAAGAATAAAGTTAAATTAATGTGCCTCTGGCGCGAAACTCATTGCTGCATGCTTGCTGACTGAGACAGAAAGATAGATAAAGAGACATAGATAGACACAGAGAAAGTGTTTGTGTGAGAGAAAGAGAGAGAGAGAGAGAGAGGACGGAAAGGGAGGGTTACGCTATACGTTTCCGTTGCATCAAAACCGGACGTTACGCAGACGGGGAACAGTTAACGTCTACAACGGCAGCAATGTCGCCGCGGGTGACTATTCAACGAACATCCTCCCCCATAGGGTGTTTCCCCGTGAGATTAAATAAACGACGCGTATGTATATCTTCCCTCCCGAGAATATAATGGAAATGCACGCTCAAGACTCTCCCCCCCCTCCCTCCCTCCCTTTCTCTCTCTCTCAATCTCTCTCTTTCTCTATCTGTCTCCCCCTCTTGCCCTTCCTGCCACCCTTCGTCCCTTTCTTATTTACTCGCTTAATTATAACCAACGATATATCTCTTTCTCTCTTTATCTTTACGTGATCTTTACATTTCACCGAAACCTTCTCTGTCTCTCTTTCTCGTTATTCCTCTCTATATACTTCGAAAGGTACGATAAACTTCAAACAAAATTTCCATGCAAAACGTTTTAGTTTAAACGAGAAAGTATGCTTGATTAGATTCATTTGTATAATTTTATACCCCTTTTTCCTCCAAGCGTTAAATGCTTGATAAATATTGAACTAATTTATTTATGAAAAATATTAACGAGATGTATTATATACACTATAACGTTTAAATTTTATAATACCCCTTGATAATATTATTTTTTATTACGTGTTTAACAAATTATAATAATATCATTAAATGGAAATTTAATTAAATGTAATATTATATTATAATTGCTTTTAAATTAATTTCAAAGTGTAATTTGTTTGGCGGAGTGGGAGGGGAAAAACAGAAGTATTTTTATTTACGAAAAATGGGTTACTTGTGAAAGCATTTTAATCGAATGGCGTGCGATTTTTTTTCTTCTTTTTTTTTACAGGTGAAACTCGTAAACACGAGAGAGTAAAAGAAACTGCGATCACGGATATGACGATACGATGATGCAAAATCCGCAAAGACGGAAACAAGGTGGTGCGTGTCGGCGAAGCCTGACTATTATCATTCAGGCATTGTTAATACAAAATCTGAGCATTTTAAGAGCAGTTGGACAAACGTCGGAATGTCCCCCAACGGAATCCATTCCAGGTTGTTCCTGCTATAATTTTCAGGACGGTTTATTCCTCGAATGCGATGGCGCCACAGAGGAGACTCTACGGAGCACTTTGCAAGCTGTTCTAACTGCCAGCGGTAAGGACGTAATTTAATTATGTGATCTAATCGTTGCGAAAAACGAGACCTTTCTTGACGAATTTTTCGAATTAAAAATCACAAAATCCCCCCTTCCAAAAAAAACAAATTTTATTCGATCTCATATATATCACGTAACAATTCGAATAACACGATGCAACCATTTTTTTCCCTCTCGTCGTAGTCGAATAGAAAAGAAAAAAAAAAGAACTCCTTTTTTCTACAAACATTTTCAGGAGCAGATACGATAATACAATCGTTGAATTTCTACGAGTTGGATAAAAATATTGAGATATTGAAGAAAGGCTGTTTTCCGGCGGAAACGCAAATAAGGCATCTGCAAATATCACATTCGTCGCTGAAAGAAATCAACGAGGACGCATTTTCTAATCTGAGAAATAGTTTAGAATCCTTGGCACTTTTGTCCGGACGTTTGACGCAAGTACCGCAAAAAGCGTTGTCAGATTTGAAAAAACTCGATGCACTACACCTGGAATCGAATTTGATACAAGATCTATCTTCGTATTGTTTCTATGGTTTGAAACTATTAAAATTGAGTTTAAAGAGTAACCAAATTGTCAAGATATCGGAATACGCGTTCGCCGGATTGGAGGATAGTCTGAGCGATTTAGACCTGGCCGAAAATAAACTCAAGTTATTTCCGATGGCACCGCTTAGAAGACTAGAAAGTTTGGCCTCCCTTAGACTTTCGTTTAACGAAATTTCCGAATTACCGAACGATGGTTACAGTTCATTAAGTTCCTTATTGATTCTCGATTTAAGTAGTAATAATTTTGAAAAATTGTCCGAAAATTGTTTTAGACCTTGCCCGATATTACACACATTATCACTTTATTACAACTCCATTGAAAATATTGACAAGGATGCTTTTATATCGTTAAAGGATTTGGAATCGATAGACCTCAGTCACAATAAAATAGTATTTCTAGACGTGACCACTTTTCGAGGAAACGAAAGACTCAGAACGATAGATCTCAGTCATAATCATATCCATTACATCGGTGGAGTATTCGCGTTGTTACCGGAATTGAGAGAACTTTATCTCGCGGAAAATAATATTCTTGAAATTCCCGGTGACGCGTTTGCCGGTAGCGTCGGTCTAGCAGTGGTCTATTTACAACAAAATGCTATCAGGAGAATCGATGCCAAAGGTTTAGCCAGTCTGACACAATTAATCCAATTACATTTGAGCAACAATTACATCGAAAAGGTGCCGCGAGATTTTTTCGAACATTGCGAAAATCTCTCCTCGTTGTCCCTGGACGGGAACAAAATTCGAGAACTGCAACCGGGTACTTTCGTTAAGTTGCATCAATTGAGGGAATTAAGACTTCAGGACAATCAAATAACCGAAGTAAAGAGAGGAGTGTTTTCACCTTTACCGGCTTTGCTCGAACTTCATCTGCAGAACAACGCAATCACGGATATGGAAACTGGCGCGTTGAGAACTTTGAACAGTCTTCAGCACGTTAATTTGCAAGGAAATCAACTGACGATGTTAGGCGACGTATTTCAATTATCTGCCTCGGAATCTTCATCCGGTGGGAGTTCACTGGTGTCGATTCAATTGGACAGCAATGCATTGGCCGTATTGCACAACGATTCTTTACGCGGACAAGCCTCCGTTAGAATCATGTGGCTTGGTCATAATAAATTGACACACTTGCAAGCTCCACTATTTCGTGACTTGCTCTTAGTCGAACGACTGTATTTGACGAATAATTCAATATCAAAGATCGAAGATTCCGCATTCCAACCGATGCAAGCTCTGAAATTTCTCGAGTTAAGCATGAATAAACTCGGTCACGTGACCGCACGGACCTTCTCCGAACTGCACAAACTCGAGGAATTGTATCTTCAGGATAATGGATTGCGCAGATTGGATCCTTACGCTTTGACCGCTCTGAAAAAACTACGAGTCTTGGATTTGGCGAATAATCGTTTGGACGTATTGAAAGATACCATGTTTCAAGAGGATCTACCAATAGAAATGCTCAATTTGAAGAATTGTTCTATAACGAGCGTAGAGAGCAACGTTTTCGTTGGTCTATTAAATTTGTCTTACCTCAATTTGGAAGATAATTTGCTAACCGCCGGCGCACTTATTCGTCTCCGCGTGCCAGGACTTCGAACGTTGGTTGCCTCCGGGAATAATTTCAGTCACATCATGGAACGAAGTCTTAACGGGTTGCCATCCCTTCAAGAGCTATTCCTAGACGACGCCCAGATATCGAAATTACCCCAAAACATTTTCATTGTTAATCCAAATTTGGCACGACTGCATCTCAATCGGAATCTTCTACGAGCCTTACCACCTGGCATATTCGACAGATTGTTATCCCTACGTGAAATTCGTTTAGATCGCAACCGATTTCTGGACATTCCCTATTCCGCTTTGGCAAACGCCCTCAACCTCGAAGTACTGACATTATCCAACAATGAGATAGTTAACGTCGACGTGGCCAGTTTTGTTAGTTTAAAGTATTTGAGAGAATTGGACTTAAGCCATAATCGGATAGACACAATGTCTGGCTTTGCCATAGCCAATCTGTCCCGATTGGTCTTCGTCGATCTAAGTCACAATTACTTGAACGCTTTACCCGCCAACTTCTTCGCCCATTCGTCTATGTTAAGGCGCGTCGATCTATCGGAAAATAAATTCCGACAAATACCCGCGGTCGCCCTTTCCGGACAAAATCTTCCCGGTCTCGCCTGGTTGAACCTAACGAGAAATCCTCTCAATAGAATCCACGATTTACCATCCGAGGCTATGTATCCGATCCTACAAGAGATTCACATATCCGGTACCAATTTGAGCATCGTCACGTCTCAAGATTTCGAAGCTTTCCCGGCTCTTCAACATCTCTTTTTAGGTCAGAACTGTATCCTAAGAGTATCGCCCGGAGCATTCCGAAGTTTACCAAATCTATTGACTCTACATCTAGGAATGAACAGCCTAGAGATTTTACCGAAAGAGAGGCTCCAAGGTATGGAGCATTTGAGAGTGTTAAATCTCACGCACAACCGATTAAAGGAACTCGAGGAATTTCCAAAGGATCTTAAGTCACTTCAAGTACTTGACCTGTCCTACAACCAGATCGGTATCGTCGGCAAAGTGACATTCAAGAATTTAATTAGCCTGGTCGAGTTGCATCTCTATGGTAACTGGATAAACGCGATTTCCAGTGAAGCATTCAAGCCTTTGAAGAAACTACGGCTTCTTGATCTAAGTAGAAATTATTTGGAGAACCTTCCGCTGAACGCTTTTCGACCACTTGAGACACAAATAAGAAGCCTTCGTGCCGAAGGTAACTTGAGGTTTTATAAATTAACATGTATACAGTAGTATTAGTAGTAGTAGTAATAGTAGTAGTAGAAATACTCCTCGGTGTCGTTTCTCAAATATTTCAATTCACTCTGATTACATTCTACCGCGAATATTATTAACATTTAATAAAATGCATGCAAAAACAACTTTCTGCATAAATAATGAACGAGTACCTCACTTTTATCATTTACGAGTGAGAACTCAATCAATCGTAATTGGTTTGGTTTAAGGATACTCATATTTTTTTAAATCTTTTCCCAATTTAATTCGAATCAAAATTTCCCACGAATTTCTATTAAACTTTGGTGTCCAGTACATTCAGATGTATAAATCCAACTATCGATCCGTACAAAGTTTGTTACCGGTTTTATTCACAATCCAATCATATCGCAAGTCACGTACCATCGTCTTGAATCGATAGCCAGTATTACGACAATCAAACAAGCCTCAACTTTACTGACCTGTTCCATCCTCTTATCAAAGTTTGCCGGCTAATCTTCCGTTCCATGCTTTAAGACCTGACAGACGTTTTCTATAATCTCTCTTAGGTGACATTACCAAACACCTGACGACAACTAACTCGACGATGATAAATGATCCACGAATGTTTTTGTTTTTTTAAATGTTTCCAATCTTTGCCCCTATCGCGATCTAAAAATTCATTGAAATTAAATACGATAAATTGTAAATTGAATTTAACGTTCACAGAAAATCCCTTGCATTGTGGCTGCGAGTCGCAGGAGTTGTGGGAATGGTTGAGGGATCATCAAAAGTTGGTCGGTGGTGTAGGTCGTGGTCACCGTCGTGGAAGGAACGGTGTAGGAGTGGGCGAAGTTGAGGGTGGTTTACTGAAATGCGAGCAACCACCGGAGCTCCGTGGACTCGTCTTTCTCGATTTGGATCCTCACGCTTTCTGCTCTGCACCTCTTGTCCTGAAACTCGCAATCCAGGACATACAACCGTTCTCGGTATTGGTATCCTGGCAGAGTAGAAATCATTCGGGACTTCACGGTTATCAAGTGGCCTATCACGCGTTGGATAATGTCGCCGAGGTGAGTGTTAGTGTTTTCTTTTCACGTAAAATTAATAAAAAAAATATTAAAAGACAAATTTGTAAATGAAAAATTTGTGATAGAGTCGAAGGTTAATCGTTGAATTACAGGTACGTGGTAAGCGATTAGATCCAAAAGCACGCTCGGTGAGATTGACAAAGCTGTCATCGGATACCAGATACCTGATCTGCGTATTAGGTCTCGGCAGTTGGGGTACACCAATCCCGGAGGATATAGGTGCCTGGCAATGGAATTCCTCTCATGATGATTTAATCGAAGGATCAACGTTACCGGTCATGATCGATTCGCCAACAAGCCGATGCACCGAGGTTAGAACACTGGATGCACCAGATTCGATAGTAGGCGATGGTACCATGAACGATAGAGGAGGTCTCACCAGTATTCTAACGAGGCGTTTGGGCTTGATAGTCGGTAGCTGCATGGGATTCGTTGTCTTTATAGTGCTAATCTCAATATTGGGTTACATGAAGATGAAGAAGCAAAGAGCTGCCGTTAAAAGGGATCAACCGATAACCTCTAACCCACCGGAGTATATGTCCTACAGGCACTTTTCCTTGCAAAGTGGCGATCGAGCAGAGAACCCTTGTCCCAGCTTTATCAGCAACATCGGTACCACCCCCTTAAACTCGTAGCACAAGCCAAAAGAGTCTCGCAAACGCGAACCATGCGAGCACGATATCGAAATGAAGAACGTTTCGACTTACACGGGTATCTTTGGCTAGTTCATTCGTTTTCGAATGAACACAACGACGACCGTCCAAACGTCGAACGACGAATAGTCAAGGAACGAATCCTCGGCATGAGTATTCTTCTTCTTCTACTTCTACTTCTTATGATCGGTGCATAAAAAAACAAACCAAATGGACGTTCTTTTCTCATACGCCACGGTATATGAACAAAAATGAAAATAAATAAAAACGTTTACGAGTAGGTAAGTTACTTCATATGTCACTTCGAAGTGTCTCCAAACGTTCGTTTTTCCGAACTCGTCAATAAATTCGAGTCGGATATCGAACTTTCTCATCTACGTGAAAGTCAACGTAGAAACCATAAACGGTTTATCACCACAGAAGACTCTTACGACCCTCGTAAAAGTTCTTCTTCTTCTCTTTCTTCTTCTTCTTCTTCTTCTTCTTCTTCTTCTTCTCCTTCTTCTCTCTTTTCCTCCCTTTCGTATTTTTTTTTTTTTCGTATTTTCTTTTTTTTTTTTTTTTACACTCGCCAACTCGGACGATGTCTGGTTAAAACTAACTGTGCCAAAAAGAAGATCGAAAACTTTGCTACAACTTCGAATCTCTTTCCCTTTTTCAATCCTACGAGAGATCCGTCGAGAGGATCTGCCAATAAACGAACGAGTAAAAATTTTACAATAGAAAAATTCTTTTTTTTTTTTTTTTTTTAAATAAATAATAAAGAATAAAAAAGAAAAGCGAGATAATATTTAACAGATGATCAAGTTAATGTTAATCAATTTACCGAGCAACAACGCAACGACATCCGTGAAACTTCGAATCGCGCGCGAAGACTGATTTTTTAAAAAAAGCGGTTCCCATTATTCAATTATCCATAAATACCATATACTTGCCCTGTCTTACGATTTGAAATCAACGTACGGTGTTGTATTGTACGGTAATGCGGAAATGAAATCATTGTAAATAAAATCAAATGAAATAAAATGATAAATAATAATGCGAAACAAAAAATATGAAAAGAAAGATGTGAATTAATGATTCTTCGTAATAAACGCATATATCTAAACGAAAAAAAAAAAATAAATAAACAAAAAAAAAAAACTAACTAACAAATAAATAAATAAATAAATAAATGAATAAATAAATATGTAAGAGAAGAAATTCCGTTTCCACATAGTGCTGCGAAAGCAATATTAACACTTACTCGTAACGATAGTTCTTACGAACAGCACTAACGGCGAAAATAACGAAGGTAATAATCTCCGGTTCCGGACACACGGATAAAACTCTTTAGAATTAAAACGAATTACCGAAGTTCATGTGTGATTCCTGCCAAACGAAAAAGAAAGAAAGAAAGAAAGAAAGAAAGAAAAAAAGAAATAGTGAGAGACAAAATGTAATCAATTGCCAAAACTGTTGACTGTGTACGAAAGCGTTACGAAGAATCGGTATATTGTATATAGATAGAGAATATGTATACACTTAACAATTCTTTATTATAGTCTAGACTTTCGGTTAATAAAAATTCGTCAAAACTATCTCAATTACAATTGTATATTTTTATTTAATACCACCTATCGCTAAAAATGACAACAAAAAATATGTGCTTTGATTTTTCAGGACTAAAAATATCGACAACGAAAATAATTCAACAAAAACAGAAACATACTCATCGCGAAGTGTTGTCCACAATCGAAACTTAGAATTGCCGAAAGAGAGAGAGAGAGTGAGAGAGAGATAACTGTAGTTACCTTTACATTTCTAAACTAAAATACATTATCGATAAAACGTTTAACATTTAGCCCCGTTCACCGCTCAGAAAGCAAATGAAATTTCCAAACGAATTGGCAGCAATCCCGTTGAGCCGTCTCGGACAACTAATTAATTAATTATAATGAAAGCTTAGCCGGACCTAAAGCTTAAAGCCGAACTTGAGGTCTCGCTTAGGTCTCGTAATTAACTTGGGGTCGATAGATTCTATCCCTCAGCGTCAATCAGTTTCAATCTATCACGTGTACAACAAAATTAACCCCTGCTATCTACGATCTACTAAAGAGAATGCGTTATGAAATTTTATCTATATTTATATAAGATACAGTAACATCATGATCTTCGATGGGAAACACGATTGAGGTAAGTAATATCTTTAAAAAAAAAATATAATCTACGCTCGCGATTATATAATAAATATTTTTTGTCGAAAAATTATCATTAAAATAAACGATTGCACAAAACGTTAATAAAAAGAAATATATTAATTCTTATTATTTAATAAATGTGTGTGTAGGAGAAAAATATTATTACGAATATTATTTTTTTTAATGAAAATAAGATTATAATATACAATTTACGTATCGCGACACGTTAATTATTTGAAATTCAAGTAGGAGGAGGATGACGACGACGACTTATGAACGTAGCCAAAGTAAATAACCGTTAATTACTCGATCTCTTCGAGGTAGGAGAAAATTCTTTTTAATTTTTTCTTTTTTCCTTTCTTTTCTTTCTTTTACTTTTTAGTCAAGTTTCTCCAAAGTGGTGGATTTCCTCGTTGCATAAAGCATGCAGCATTTCGCGAAGCCCCGGAAAGAAGGAAGGAAGGAAGGAAGGAAGGAACACTCGGCGTAGTAGCAGTGTGCACCCGTGGTTGCAATTACAACTCGTAATTAATTCCGTTGGGCTCCGACTCAGACTGTCGCGTGCCGTTGAGGTGAAGATAGAGAATGAGAGAATGGCGAAGGGAAAATGGGGGAAAAGGCAGAGAGAGAGAGAGAGAGCGAGAGGGGGGGAAGAAATAAGTGTTCCCCCTCGTAATCCAGAAGTACAAGCGTTCCATTGGAACGGCTCGTTTCTGTTATTTCGTAATTAAACGCTCGACTCAATCGACGAAAATTAGCAATTACATGAAATAGTCCATAGGAACAAAGGAAGAAAGATACAACTTCCTTTCCCCACCCTCCGTTTTCTCCTCTCCTCTCCTCTGTCTCTCTCATCTTCTCTCTAATCTTATTTTTTATCGTATAAAACAGTTTAAACTCTTTAAATCGTTTTGTAAGAAAGAGAATATGATGATAATAATTTTTTTTTGTTTCTTATCTCTTTTTCCTTGCATTTTTATCCAATTTGATTATTAAATTTCTTAGTTTATGCTAATTGTATAAGAATTTTAATGAAAATACAAAATTAAATATATGTATTAAATGTATTTACAAAGGAATAATTTAATATGTTTTTTTTTTTCTTCTTTATTCAATATTCGAAGTTCACTCAAAAATCAGATAAATATTTGCATCGTTGCATGGTACGACCCTTATATAGGCCGGTTGGATGCACAAACCCCTTTTGGACCCTTTTGCATGAATAACTCGTATATGGGTCTAATAATAATGAATTAAATTCAATTAAATACAGTTGAGAATTCTATTCGTTTTATTCCAAACTGATTGTTACCTGTATAACTGTAATATGTCATCGTAAAAATGATTATAGAAAATACTGGATGATAAAATTATTGCTGAAAATATTGCTCTATAAGTTAAATGTATATATTTATTATTATATTTTTTATTACAAAAAATAGAAAGAAAATATATAAAATTATTGTAAAACGTTTTGTTAGGCTTCAATTTCATACAACTGTGTGTACTCTGATAAGATCTGACAGTTAAACCCTGATTGACAAGTTAGACAAGACAAAAGGTTTTGACGTGCAACAGAAAAACATGACTGTCACATTGCCATGGAAAAAAATTTATGATAGACTTCGAGTCTAAATGTTTTCCAATTTTTTCCAATATTTCTACTTCACTCTGATTTTTTCTTCCTTAGATTTAACAAATTTCTTCAGAAGAGAAAAAAATAAATTAAAAGAAAAATAAATAAATCGAGAATATTTTTTTCAATCACATTACTTGTTCAACGTTTCGAAATATTAATATTTAATATTATTCCTCTCTCGCAACACGAAAACACTTTATTATCTAAATCTAACTCGTGCTTCCACAGTTTATTCAACTATAAGATTTCTATATAGAATTGCATAAAGGATTTCCGTAATCTTCCTATTCATATTGCAATTCGCCTAAATCAATTAAACTTGTTTGACTACGTTGATAAGACTACGTTCGAGTCTCGTCGACTATTCCGAATGAATTAATTTATTAATATTTTCTAACTCTCGCACACAATATTGTCAATTATTTTCCATATATATATTATATTAACACATCATTGTATAAAATTATTATTAACAAAAAAATAAAAACTAATTTATCGTTCTAAAAAAAAAAAAAGAAAATAAGTGCGTGCATATATGTTGAATAACCTACACGTATTGTTGTTTAGTAGATAACATAAACGTGTTGGTAGCTTTATATTTTATACGAAGCATCGGTGTTTGTACATCGTGAAATAAAATAGTAGGGTGATTGCCGAGGTGGGTTTGTAGTTATAGCCGGTACTTTACAGCTAAAGAAAGCTCGGTGTAGAAGCAATTTTATTAGAGTCCGTATCTACACCTACAGTTATATGTATAGGTTCTCTTATTCTCTCTCTCTCTCTCTCTTTCGTTTTTCATCTTTGTATACCTTGCTTGTTCCTTGTCTTTCGACTTCGTTGAAGAAGTCTACCTACCGAATATTCTGTCTCATTCTCTCTACCATTCTCTCTCTTTTTCTATTTTCTCATGTGTATTCACGAACACGAGGATAATGTACGTTGAATTTCACAAGAGTAGGTTATACAAGAGGTACGAGAAAGGTTGCTTACCATGCTCGAGCAATGCACTTGCGGACTGGGAAATTATGCGAGCAACCGAGTTCTACGTTTTTCCTTGCAGTGCACACTTTCCTTCCACCGTCTCAACGACTTCTCGACTATTCCCTTTTCGCGATGTCTGACGTTCCTAAAACTTCCACGGAATGTCCTCGCTTAAAAAGGTAGTAGTAGTGGTAGTAGTACATTTTCACGTTTTGCAAGAAACGATTGGGCGCGATAACTTTATCTTAAGAAAGAACGAGAGAAACTACGAGAAAAACAAAATTAAATACTTCGAGAGAAAAAAAAAAGAAAAAAAAAAAAAAGAAAATAGAAATAATTTCAAGGATCCAATTAGCGACTAGTTTCCCAAACGAACGTGACACGGTAGAAGAAGAAAAATAAGAAAATGAAAAAGTATCTTATCGTAGAAAATTTTACATACAATTATCTCATGAATTATTCCTTATTCAAAATATATAACTTACTTTATTTCGAACTGGGACATTCAACAGGGATGGGTAACAAATCTTTTCCAGGTGTAGGTACTACGTGCTTCCAAGATTTCTACCAGTGAACCCGTGTTTTTTTTTAATGGAACTCTACGTTTTTACTTATGTTGACGTATAACCTGATTCTCGACAAATTTATGTGAGCCTAAATATAAATCTAAACAAGATTTGTTTACTATCGTAAGACGCGCGTTCCACTTATTTTGAAAACGAATTTAAATCCCCTTCTGTTCGAAATATTTTCTTGATATAAGACAAAAATTAATTAAAAGCGTGTAATATACTTTTTACGTTTATAAACGATTAATTATAATTACTTTAAAATTATCATTAACCAATATGAAAAAATCTAACGCAAGGATGGAAAATGATTGTCCCTTTTTTCCAATGTGATTACGAAATACTTCAAAGAGATTCACGAGAAACGTCGAATATTTTTCCTCCGTTAGGAAAGATCCTTTTTCGACAAAGTATTTCGACAAATGGCACTTAACGGTAAGGCATGTAACTCATCCCTGTAAAGCTAGAAAATCAGTGTCCATCGAGAGAAGATGAAATGGGATAGGAAGAACGATCCTTGAAATGCTCCCACGCAATTCGTAATCTCATTTGGAATGATTCCATTTTCTCTCTCGTTTTGATCCTCACGGGGACGAGGAAAATGTTTTAGAAGCGAGGAATTGTGAAAAGACGACGATAGAGGCATTCTTGCGTAAGAGGAACCGATCTGGAATCAAAAAGAACCGATGGAAACTACTCCTTCATGCCACCTACTCAAGCTTTTATTCAACATAAATCATCATCTCGATCCCATTATCCTCAAATATCGAAATACCACCTAAATGACAACGTTCGACCGATTTCACTAAAGTATTCCGTCTTCTTTTTTGTTTTTATTTATATATACATATACACCAAGCTCACAAATGAGTATGGTTGAAATCAACAAGAAGAAAAAATTGGAAATGTATAACATTTTACTTTGTTAAATTTATCAAATTGATATGAATTCACGATCGAATAGTCAAAAACCATAATCTTTTATATTCAACTCGGACAGGTTTAGCACGTAAAATGCAATATTTTCTTCTCGAAATATTAAACAAATCCGCGTATATGACAAAAAAACAAAAAGGAACGAATAAAATTGGTTGAAACAATTTTTCATCTTTCGTACGTACGTTCGTTTGTTTGTACAATAAAAAAAAAAATATGTCGTAGAAAAAGAAATACGACATAACACTACTAGTTCGTTATTTATTTTCGTTTAA